AGAGAGAGAGGCACAGGTCAGCCAGGAGGTGCAAAAGAACAGATGGAAAGAAGATAATGAGAGGAGGGGAAAGAAGCAGGGTGAAGGATACACAAAGATGAAGAAGGTCAGAGAAAAAGAAGGTAATGAGGAAAATCATGTTATGGGGAGAGAGCATAGTGACGGGGAAGGAAAATTAAAAGAGATGATGATGATATATAAGGAGAAAAGGGATGCAGATGGTGGGTGGGGAGGCTGTAGGAAAGATAATGATGTTGCTGTTACATTTTTACAACTATACTTTATGGCTCTGCCGTGAAGCTCTAAAATGTTTGAACTCTTGCCAGCAGCCATTACAGAAAATACCGCTTATTGATTCTTATACTTCATTTTTGTCAGTAATCTAATTGGTCAGAAAATGTAGTCACAGTAAGCCAAGTGCAAAGCCGGCCAACAATCGAGAGGTCCAAGGAAGAAAATGCATTTCCCACTTGATCCAGACTTTAAGGAGAGCTCAGTTTAACCTGGCAGACCATAATCAAGCATCCTCGAGACATTTTAATCTGGATTTTCCACTGAAACAGCTCTTCTCAGAGTTTTCACATTGGCATTGAAATCACGTAAGAAATATTGTCAAGTTGAGTTCCACTGTGTCACACTTTGAAGTGGACATTTAGTCAAATGTATAAGTTTCTAATAGAAATTTCTCCAAAAGTTGATTCTGTTCATCTGGACGTAGCGTTTTGTGGGAATGAGAATGAGAATTTGCATAATTATGATTAAGGAACTGGCCTCCCAACCAATTGTTCCTTCAGTGGGCTGGTTTCAGTCATTATGCAAATGTATGTTTATAAGATTTGGGGAAACCTGCAGTCAGCTGAGACTGAAGAAGTCACTTGGATGAGTGACGAAACGGTTTTCCCATAAAACGCTACGTCCTGATGAACAGAATCAACTTTTGTAGATTTACTTTCCTGGATGATTGAGAATGCATCAAAACTAATAGAAATTGTATAATTTCTTTGTGTTCAGGTCAACTGGGCTTCTCAGGCACGTTGTGAAGGTTAAAAAAAGTCTAAACAAGCTTCAATTGTCAGTATTTTACAGGCTAACTGTCCATTAAACATTTGGCGCCTGTTACTTGAAGGCATTCAGCTAAATGCACTTAAAACAACCTGAGAATTAAACAATAAAGCAGCCATTGGCGCACAAACATACACTAAACTGTTTTCAGATTAGAAATTGGAAAAAGGTTATACCTAATCTAGTTTGTCTCCTTCAAACTATACAAGAGAAAAACAGAAACATTATATCATTACATTGTATCATTTGCTTTTCATTCATATTTAATATATATATGGTCCCAAAGCAGAATTACATGTGTATTAGTGAACTGAAAGAAAAATTAAAACACTATTGAGTCACTAGCAAATGTTCGTCAACCATTTAATTCGTCAACAGAAGGAAATCTGACAAGTTCCCCTTGCAGGCAACTGAATGACAGCAGTCAGTCAGTCCAATGTTGCATCATGACTTTGAGTAATGTAACTAACATAAAGCTAAAATCTTAATACATTTCAAATTCTCTGAAACTGTCCAAAGCTTCATCAGTGAGAAAAAACTTCCTCATTGGTGGATCCTGAATATGAGTCTTTAATCATCGTCCATTGCTCAGCAGTTCGAGTTTGTTTTTTGCAGCAAGTACTTTGAGTACTCAACAAAGTGGAAATGATGCTAGTCTGGTACTGGACTGTTTACCATAAGTGTTAGGCGACTGATTAATAAAGTGCTAGACTTTAACACATCAAAACTGGTGAACATGCTGTTTGTGCC